CTGTTTAGCTCTGTACCCCATTTTTTAATTAGATTACTTGATTTGTTGCTGTCTATCTTCTTGAGTTCTTTATATATTCTGGTTATTAGACCTCTGTAAGATATAGGGTTGGTGAAGATCCTTTCCCGATCTGTAGGCCGTTGTTTTGTTCTGACAACAGTGTCCTTTGCTTTATAGAAGCTTTTCAGTTTCATGAGGTCCCATTCATTGATTGTTGATCTTAGAGCCTGTGCTGTTGGTGTTCTGTTCAGGAAGTTGTCTCCTGTGCCAGTGAGTTCAAGGCTCTTCCCCACTTTTTCTTCTAAGCGGTTTAGTGTGTCTAGTTTTATGTTGAGGTCTTTGATCCACTTGGACTTTAGTTTTGTGTAGGGTGATAAGTATGGATCTATTTGCATTTTTCTGAATGTAGACATCCAGTTAGATCAGCACCATTTGTTGAAGATGCTATCTTTTTTCCGTTGTATGGTTTTGGCTTCTTTGTCAAAAATCAGGTGCCCATAATGTGTGGGTTTATTTCTGGATCTTCTATCTGAGTCCATTGATCCACCATTCTGTTTGTATACCAGTACCACGCAGTTTTCAGTATTGTTGCTCTATAGTACAGCTTGAGATCAGGGATGGAGATACCTCCAGAAGATTTTTTATTGTAGAGGATTATTTTAGCAATTCTGGATTTCTTGTTATTCTATATGAAGTTGAGAATTGTTCTGTCAAGGTCTGTAAAGAATTGTGTTGGTAATTTGGTTGGAATTGCATTGAATCTGTAGATTGCTTTTGGCAAGATGGCCATTTTCACTATGTTAATCCTGCCAAGCCATGAATATGGGAGATCTTTCCATATTCTCATATCTTCTTTTAATTCTTCCTTCAGAGAGTGGAAATTTTGTTCAAAGAAGTCTTTGACTTGCTTGGTTAGGGTCACAGCAAGGTTGATGCCCTCTTCTGATGTACATGAACCCCTCATGTATGTAAAATCCATAAAGAGATACCTCTTTTAGAAACAGTATCTGGGAGCAGCACCCATGCTGTTTAGAATTCAGTGTCACACAGAGTCATTTCCGGTTGAATCTCAGCTAGAGTGAGCCTTGGAGCTGGACAAGGTTTGAAGCCTGGCTAGATCAGCTACTGTGTGCCCCTGGGAAGTTACCACACCTTTATGTGCCTTGCCCTCTTCACCTACGATATGTAAATGATTACACTTGAATGATAGTATTCCCTCACGGGGTCCAATGAGGTTTAGGTGAGTCAACCTGAATAAAATGCTCAACCCATCAACTCTAAGACATACTTTAAAAGTCTTAAATTTTTTAAAAATTCACTTTCTCAATGTAAATTATTTCTCAGGATATTTTTTAACAGAAAACTACATAGTTCTGAATCAGGCTAAAAATCAGAAAAACCAGGGGATGTGGACCATTTGGAAATAACAGCCCATCTGTGCCTTAATTCTCTAATTAAGGGAAAACATTTTTGAATGTCTGATTTCCTTTAAAAGCAGTAGTGAAAAATAAAGCTCATGGAAGAATCAGCATTGGGGCAAGGAATCCCACACAGTCACACTGTTCCTACTGCCCCCGCTCAGTTACTGCCTACTGAGCACTGCGGTGAAATATGTGCGGCCCAGCTCCACTTACACTGGGAGACATGACTCTTCTCTCACTTCCAGTACACAAAGACAAAGACATTTCAGTCCCGTCACTGTTGCTATTCTATCTTCCTCCTGATCACCATGCTAACAATACCAGGCTCTCAGTGAGCAGCTCCCAGTTCTGACTTTGAATGGCATCCAACACATTATCATTCCCTTAATTAACAGCGACTGGAAACAAATAATTTAATTCTGGGGCAAATGAAAATAAATCAATGGTGCCAGCTCCACTTCCCAGCTTTCTAATTGTCCGTAACAATTGTTGCCTTGGTGTGAGATTCATTTGAGAAAAATAAAAGACAGATGGACAATGAGTACGGTCCTGTTCCTTACCCAAAAACTGATATGCCCAGCAGGAAAAAAAAAATATTTCTTTGTACAGAATCAACATTTAAATCATAAAGATTGTATCAGTTGGATATATTTATTTTCTTTTTTTTTTTTTTTTTTTTTTTTTTTTTTTTTTTTTTTTTTTTTTTTATTTTATTTATTTTTTTTCTTTTTAGTTACATTTTGTTAACTCCGTGTCCCAGCTGTATCCCGCTCCCTCATTCCCTCCCCAACCCCACACTCCCTCCCTGGTCTCCTCCCTGCCCCTTTCCAAGTCCCCTGATAGGGGAGGACCTCCTCCCCTTTCATCTGTCCCTGTTTTATCAGGTAAGGGACAGATCAACCAGACAGACACCAAATAGGGAAATAAAAGCACTCACAGAATCCCTAAATCAAATGGACCTAATAGATGTCTACAGATCTTTTCACCCAAACTCAAAAGAGTACACCTTCTTTTCAGCACCACACGGAACCTTCTCCAAAATAGACCATATAGTTGGTCTCAAAGCAAGCCTCAACAGATATATTTATTTTCTAAGAGGATACACTCAAAGCCTTGGCTTGGTGAAAATAAAAATAAAAAAGCAGATATGCGAGCATGGTAGCACACACCTACAATGCTGTCACTTGAGGTGCCTAGGCAGGAGGATCATGTGCTTGAGGCCATTCCTTCTGAGCCTCGTAGTGTGAGCCTACTCATAGTGTGAGCCTACTCATAGTGTGAGCCTACTGACGGGGTTGAGGGAGACAAGAACACGCCAGGATCTATTTGGCTATTTAGAGACAGTGAAACCACAAGCCCAGGCTGATCCCAGCCCAAAAATGAAACCTCCCTCAGGTCCCTTTTATATTCATAAACCGAAATCAAGAGGTAGACATCCTAACCTTGGATTTGGAACATACAGATGACTTAATTTCGATGCTGCAAGTTAATGGGACTGAGTACAGTCATTACTGGCTCTAAATCTGCAACATGCAGGGTGTGGGCTTGGTGACCTAGGACTTCTCTTTCTATGCTAAAGTTTTCTTTTTTTTTTTAATTTTATTTTTCTTTTTAGTTACATTTTGTTAACTCTGTGTCCCAGCTGTATCCCACTCCCTCATTCCCTCCCCAACCCCACACTCCCTCCCTGGTCTCCTCCCTGCACCTTTCCAAGTCCACTGATAGGGGAGGACCTCCTCCCCTTTCATTTGACCCTGTTTTATCAGGTATCTTCCCGGCTGGCTGCAAAGTCCTCCTCTGTGGCCTAACAGACTGCTCCTCTAAGAGGATCTCAAGGGTATGCTAAAGTTTTCAACACATGGACATGATGGGCCCTTCCAAACGAGACTCTGTCACTGCCAGGTTCATCTCTTCTAATGGAGCATTCTGGGACCTTGGAATCAAGCAAGCACAGGATGGAGCTGGAGACTTCCTGGACCACTGCATCCCAGATATGAGCTGAAATATCACTGACTGGTAGACTTCATTATCACTTTGGTCTACTGGAATCCAGACAATATCCAGTAAGCTCTGATATTGTCTGGAATCCAGCAATATCTATCTTAATTAATTTATTTATCTATCTGTCTATCTATCTATCTATCTATCTATCTATCTATCTATCTATCTATCT